ATCAAAATCTGAAGGTCCTCTTGGTAGATGCATAGTTGAAAACAAAAATTATCAAATACAGATAGTACTAATATTACGTACACCTGATCACAGCAATTACATCCAAAGTACACATTTTCCTTCATTAGTTGATGAGAAATAAGCAATGTTTTTGGATTTTGGGTATCACTTTTTTTTTGGTGTGATTGTTCCCATGGCATATTAAACAGAACCATGGAATACAGAAACTTGCACCTTCTCACAGGAGGAGCGAGTTCGAGTCACTGTTTTAAACGAATTGAATCAGTGTATGTTCCCTGAACAACACATACTGGGATTTAATTATCATTTGAAAAGCGCCTGATACGAGACAATTAATTAATTTAATTGGGAATTAATTCGAAGGCTCGCCTTTTGTTCCACCTCTCTCGCCCGCTCACTAATTAAATTGCAGCCCAAATTAATTGACCGTTTAAATTTTCTTATCTATTTTCTTTTGTTATTTTTTTTGTCGTTCGTACATAGCGACAATAGAAGAAAGCACGAAGCATAACGTTTACATCAGTTATAACGTAGCTGCTCGTAATTCACTTCGTTTGCATTCGAATAAAAATGTAATAATGAAAGTTGCACAATTAGTTTTAAATTTAAGTGAGTTAGTATTGTCAACATAACATCAAGTAAATGACAAGCATCAATTTACTAGATTTTCGTGTTTTCTATGACTACCACAGCTTATTGCAGTACATGAATTACAAATTTGCCAATCCATTTGTTGAACTTGAATATATGCATATTCTAGAAAATCAAGGTATTGAGCAGAAATGTGCTATTTTGATTTTAATATTGGCCGTTGAATTACGGTTGGTTGAGGGTCGGGGTATTTCATTGTTCCATTGTGCTTGGTCCAATAAAGTGAACGTCTTTTCTTTTCCTTTTGTGGTAATTTTTCCTCTCATTTGGGCCTCCTGCAATCTATAACAATCCCCCCAAGCAATGTACGCATGTATATAAAGGAACTTCTCCCGTCGTAACGGAGGGTATGCATCCCCCGTTCGAATCCCGATTTTGATCCCTGCGATGTGTCACAAAAGCCGTGCAGATTTCCATCCCTTGACCGGTGGCCGAATTTCGACAAAAGCCAACGGAAAGCACAATGAAATATCCCGTTTCCAAACCCCCGATATTCTACACCTAATGGAGACGCGCCATATGGTACAATGTATTCCCTTTATATACTTATTATACAATTTTCATGGAAAGCCAAGTTTCTATCATTGAATCGTTAGCCTGATAATCTTCTCGAATCGCCGGCCGAAATTTGATACCGGTGAAACAAGTTCCTTTCAGTTTTGTTATTCCTCTGACCTTTTTTTTTTGTTAATTAAAGGTGTGCACGTTCTGGCACGCGCCAAATTTCGCCTCCCCCGTTGGGCATCTGTTGCTTGCTCTCGCCTCATCCGCATTAACTTTTTTTTTAGTGGTAGGCCCGTTTTTTAGGGGTGGCGAATTTAAGGTCTCCCATATGCTCTTCGGCATTCCTTTTTTAATCAGGAGAATAATTTTATACCGCTCACGGAGAACCGAAGGAGGAAACAAGAGGCTGCGCTCAGGAGCTTAGACGGTCACACCGGAAATTGAAGCGGGCCTAAAAATACGAGAACTACTTAATTTCAGTCGCGGGTGGAGAGAAAAACCGGGATTACCAATGATGGCTGATTCCTCTTCTTCTATTTTTTTGTAGCTCTATTTGGTGTTCGCCGTCCTCTTTCCTCCTTAAGTGAGCTCAGTTAATTTTTAACTTATTTATTTGGAAACGTTCATCTATTTTTACGCGACTCGTTTCATCTCTCCAAATCGACCAATTAAGTTTTCTTTTTTTTTTTGTTCTTGTGATTCTATCCGAAAGAGGTAGAAATCTATTTCAAATCGCATCTATCACGCCAAAGTAAATACATCTCAAGAGGATAAGGTTGAACAGACATTCGATAGTATTCCTTAAAACAGAACCGCCTTCATTTTGTATTTACTAGTTTGTATACAATCTGTCTTAAACACATCCAATAAACTTCAACGCGACATTTACGACAACAACTTTTGATTTTTTTTTAAACATTATTATTCAGAAGATTATAAATCATACAAAACTCAATTATATAACTAAAATAGGACTAGTTATTAAACTCTATTAATAGTTTGCGTTTTAAGCATATTTTGTAAATAATTGTTATTTCTTCCACATTGTATTCTTTATGTGAAAGGACATTACAGGCTCATTACGTGGGGATTTGCATCCATTACGGTATCCTTGCATTATAGGATTTGCCAGAGATGCTTAGGGATTAGGTCGTTGAAGCGGAAATAATTTCGGGCGGGATTTTGCTTTGCGCCGCTCATTTATTTTCTTCCAGTCCTTTTTTTGCTCGTTTCAGGAATAAAAGAGTTAATAGGGTTTTAGCGTTTTCTTTGTGCACAGATTTTCCGGTATTTGCGTTGCGATGATTAAAAATGTATCTCCTTTTCCGTGTAATTTTTATTAATACAAATATTTTAAGTTCAGATAAGCTTATAATACTAGGGAAATATTTATTTAAGGAAATTTATTTATTTTTAAAACAATACGCAATTAGAGAAACTTATCTGACATTTAATTATCATGTAAGATAAGTAATAATAATTCATTTAAAGTATAAATATAATAATTAAAATTGAAAACAAACTTTTTTATGTTTTAAATTTAATTTAATTTTAATTATTATATTTATACTTTAATTGGGAATAAAAAGTTTATGATATGCAAAACTTCAATTGGATTATTGTGTGTAGACTATTGTAATTATACTTTTGTTTCAAAGCACTTGACCCTTATGAACATTTTTAAATCGATTTATTAAATCTCACGAATTGATTATAATTTCATAGCATTAATATTTCATTGATTAATAAGGTTTAATTTAAATTATATTATAATGCATTTATAAAATCGATTGTAATTACTATATATATAGAGGCTTCCAATTAAGTAGAAATAAATAATAAGAACTGTCAGATAGCTTTTAGCATGGGAAAATGGTATTAAATTATTTATTATCCATTAGATGTATTATATCTGCGTATAAATTGTTATATTTTTGTAAGAAAGCTATGGGAATCGAAGCATAATCGTCTAAGTTATAATAGCATTAGACCACGTATTGGAATGGAGCGAATCGAAATGTTTTACCATAGAAAGTTGTGCGAATCGTCGAGTTGAATGGGATGACCCAATTACGCGAGGAAAATGAGTGCAAGCAATGCCGAGCATTTATTTTTTATAAATTGGTGGACGACGAATAAGACGAAACCGAACAACAACAAGAAGAAGAAGAAAAAATATATTCGTAAGACCAATTTATTTTATGTATGGGAAAGGAATTATGGTCAGGAGTTCTTCTTTTTAATACGTTGGGGACTTTATTAAATGGGCCCCGGGGGCCGTAATTTCTCCACTCTTTAGAGAAGCAGTTCAAATTCCATAATGGCCTCTGCTGTGTGTGTGTATGTGTGTTGAGTAGTTAATTGAAGCCGGCGTATCGTGTTTTATTATCGGTGGGGCCTCGTAACGACTTTTCGGTTAGCGCCCATATGGGCCGCTCTTACGCAGGCAGCGAGAGCAATAATGGAGAAGTGGATGGGCCCCCAAAAGCGAAAAGCGGGCCTTTTTGGGCCTGTTATTAAAGCCATGATTTGTGTATGCACCTATATATATATACATACATACAAAGAGAGAAAGATGTGTGTGTGTGTCCGAAACGACCCTCCCGATTAACTAACCTCCACTGTTTGGCTGCCAAAAGCATGCAAGTGCTTCGATGTAGAAATGCGCGAGCCGCTGCTGATGTCCGCTACCTGCCCTTTTCATATTGCTGCAAGGAATGTCCGGATTAATCAAGAGCTCCTAAATTGAGGGGGAATGGATGACGAGAAAGAGATTGTTTGTGAATCGGTGTATGTGTGTGGGTTCGTTCTCTTTGATGAATGGAACCGAAAGCAAAAAAAAAATAATAATAGAAATAATATTAGAGATAGCTGACATCTTGTGCGGATTGACTAATATACACCTAATTCCTCTGACTTTGTGTGCAAATTTATGGCGCGCGTTTTATTGCGATAATAAAGTAATAAAAGCAACTTAATACCTTCTTCTCTTCTTCGGCTTGTCGCTTCGTGCACGAGACCACCGTGAAATCAAATAAACTCCCGCTTCTTCTTTCTCCGACGACGGCCAGCAGCATCCGAGGATTCCGAGATTGCCAGACATTTCGCCTATTTCCTTCTATGGAATGATGCTGCTGCAATCAGCATTACCATTAACCGTACATCAGTCATAGCTATTTTAATCAGATTTCGAGGAGTTGCATATTGTAACAAAGTTTTTACAATATCATTGTACCAACTATTTCTTTGAGGAATGGGCAATATTTTATAACTTAATATAACAAAAAGATGTCAGATGTTATATGATTAGTCAGATACTTCATATTTTGGGTACGCGACAACTCGGCGACGGTCAACTAAAATTTTATTTTAGTGTCAGTCGCCGAGTTGTCACGTATCCTCATATTTTATATCATTTTGTTAAAACTTTATCATCGACTGACATAAACTAGAATTTATTTATCTGGTACTTAACAAAAATAAAGATGATGTTATGTGTCAAATATAGTTTTATTATCATATGTGATTATCATATGTGATTTATTTGATATATCTATGTAAACAATCACTTCTCTCAATTTTGAAAAGTATGCGAAAATACAATTATTATATAATAACCATATATATATAATAAAAGCTATTTCAAGCATTTGCCAAATTCGCGTATTAAGATAAGGTACCATTTTTAATAATAAAAGATAATCGACTTTGCGAGAGCAACATACTTTCTTATAAAAAAATACTTCTCTTGAACGACGCACTATACATGACTGTATGCGATATAGATGTGATTTTTAATTTAGTTTGTTTTGTTTGTGTTTCAGATGCGTGTTCGTCGCGTACAACGCCGAAACCACGGCCGCCCGTCCCGACGGCCCGGCCGAACATCACATTCCATACGTACGCGTGTCCCCCGGCGTACGCGGCTTGGTACTGCCTCAACGAGGCCACCTGTTTCACAGTCAAGATCCGGGATTCGCTGCTCTACAACTGCGAGTAAGTAGTTTCAAACGTACCCCCAAGCTCATGGTCTAAGACTACATAAAACAACGGTCCTCCCATGAATTATTCATCATACTTCCCTTAAAATGAGCAACAAACTCTATTGAATTAATGTGTGTATTTTTTTGTTTGTTTTCCGCAGATGCGCGGATGGTTTCATGGGTCCTAGATGTGAATATAAAGACCTAGATGGATCATATTTACGTAAGTTACAATTTATAATTACCATTACCATTTATTTTTATTAAAGCTGCAATGCCTGATTATTTCAAATACCAGAAACATCTACATTTAACAATAAAAACATTACAATTGTGTGATATAATTTTTTATGAATTATAATATGCACAAATTGCAAGTTACTTTACATCAAATAATTTCAATTTTTCCATTCATTTACTGTTCTGTCAATAATAAATGTTCATAATAATTATTCTAAAATTCTAAAATAATTTGATGTTTGCATCTCATTTCTCATTAAGTGTTTATTCTTTATCATAACATGTTGTATTTTGATTTACTAAAAATTAAATAATAACAATTTATTGCAAATATGCAAACATAATGGTTTAACTACAGTCACTTTTTTATGTAGTAGTGGACAAATTAATTCATACTAATATTTCTTCCTGTGCAATTCACTCGACTTTTATATTGAATTATTGTTCTGTGTATAATATATATATCTAAATGTATTTTTTCTTTTGCTTTTAGCATCGCAAAGGCGAATTCTGTTGGAGACGGCGAGTATAGCTGGGGGAGCGACGATAGCAGTGCTATTCGTGTTCATCCTATGCGTGATGGCTTACGTCCACTACAAGAACAAGATGAAATCGGGCCTGGATTGCGTGGACGGAGTGGTGTGGCGGCCCGGGTTGCTGCCGCCCCGCACCAACAGCAACCAAAGCCAACAACGTATCTTTGGCACGAAGTGGCGGACGAACAATCCCAATCCCCACGGGGACATCGCTGCCGTCCACGATAGCCTAACGGTTCAGCTCCAACATCAGCAGCAGCCACCTCACCAGCAGCCCCACGATAAGAACTCCAGCCGGATAGAATTCTACTTGTAGAAGAAACCAAGCTCCCCGAAAGTTTTAAGTTGATCGAAAAAGAAAACAGACTTTATTTTTTCTTCTCCGAAGAAAAAGAAATTCGAGACTCCGACCGCGGAAGTGACTACACACGAAAACATTGAGAAAGGTTGAACATTTCGCGAGTGACGCAAGACTAGAAAAAATTGAATCTATATATATAAATATATATATACGAAAACGAGGAAAATTCATTTGGGACTTTAATATTTAAACTGAAGAAGCAAAGCAAGCGTAAATATATTTATATATATAATATATTACTTTCCTATTTCCTTTTTCTAAAATTTATTTCTGGGGGAGAATACTTTATGAGAAAAAAAAAGGAAAGCAAACTGATGGACGGACGGATGAAGTTAACTAGAAGGATCTTAACGAATTGCTGTGTTTATTTCCTCGAACGCCGTCTCTCCTATTCTTCTTCGGCAATGCGCGTCCCCCTTGTTATATATGTTTATATACATACCTGCATACATGCATATATCTTCGAATATGTGAAAAAATTGTTATGTAATATTAATTGATTTGTTTTGATAACTTAGGAGGACGAAGTGCGCGTGCGTTGCGCTGTACGTACGATGAAGAAATGAGGCGATGACCACATTGCATTTTGTTCCACCCCTTCACAACTCTCCCTACTATTTAATTATTATTATTAATTATTATTTGTTCGTGGCGGCACCTTGTTATACGCAGCGTATAAAGAAAGAACAAAAAACCAAAACCCTTATTTATTTTATTATTAATTTTTTTATTGCGAGGAAAAAAAGTATATATATATAATTTATGTGTTGTAAATCATCAAAGCAGTTTTTCCCCACCTTCTCACTGTTATTATTATTAATTCGTACATTCGGTTGGCAAGTGTCGTGTCCTCTGGTGCAGCTCTACCATTGCCAAAAAAATATCAGAGGAACGCAAATATTATCATTCTGTTCTGAAATTTATTAATTATCATCCAACGGAAACCGGAAAAAAAACAAGAAGAAGGAAAATGCATTCCTAAAGCGCAAAAAGAAACAAAACCCTTCCGACCTCAAAAAATCCTCCCTCCCCCATACACACACTCACACGTATATCGTCAGCAAGCAAACAAAAAGTAACTAGAAAATGGTTTAAATAAATTATTTTTTTTTATTTATGATTTCCGCCTTTCTTTGTTTTATTTATACTTTATTTATTTATTTTATGTTTTATTCTCATTTATCATTATTAATTTTCTCTTTTGTTTTAATTCGAACATTCCTAATTTCCCGGTCTCGGGAAATCACCGAACGCAATGAAAATAATGCACACGCACTTTGATGCGAATGATGTAGTAGGAACAAACCCAGCGACAAACCAAAACTAGATTGAACAGCGGCTCTTTTCTTTTGAATTTCCACTCAGGTTCTGTTTTTCTTTCCTTCCACCGTCTATCATTTTTTCCCATATGTTCCGTTTTTGTTGTTTTTAATTAATTTAATCAGAAAAGCAAACGTTTTTAAAGCAATCAGAAAACAAGCGGAAGCAGTCCATCGAGAAATACCTTCTCTTATTATTAATAATAATATTATATTTTTGTGTAAAAACATGTAGATAATTATATATATATATTTATATATGATTTATACGAGAAAGAAAAACAAAGATATTCCAATATTCTTCGACTACACGATTTCTCTTATATTTATATATAAATATATTTTTTTTGTGTACATTATTAATTATTTTTTAAAGTAATTTAAAAGAAAACGAGAAAAAGTAATTTATAAGCACTTGGTTCCTAACATTAATTGTATTTGTTTTAATATTATTATTATTTTATTTTGTATTATTTCTTTTTTTATTTAAAGAAAAAAAAAGATGTCCGTATCAAAAATACAACCAATCATTCAAATTGTTATTTTCTTTTGTGTTCATTTTCTCCTCAATTTAATCCGTTTTTTTTCTTGTTAATATGAAAGGATTTTGTTGTATCCCGTCGATTTCGTTTCGTCCCGTGCTTGTATTTTTGATACGCAAGAGATTGTTTATAAATCGTAGACAGTTTATTCAATTATATAATTTAAATATAAAAACACAAGAAAATGCTAAAGACTAAGAAATGAAGAAAAAAAACATCGTAAATTGTTATAATTGATTTACGGCCTTAAACCAAAGCCTAAAACTTGTATTATACATACAGATGTTTCTATTATTATTATTTTTTTTTGTATATTTTTTTTCTCTGTAATTTCCTTCTTAATATATAATATATGTTTATATAAATATTACTTACTGTATGTATTATACAACAAACAGACTTCAAGTATTAATAATATTAAATAATATTAAATTTGTATTTTTTTCTTTTTTAAATTATTATTTATGATTGCTGTTATAGGAAAAAAAATAAGTTGACAAAGAAAAAAATACATTCATGGGAGACATTAATTTCCTTTTTCCTATTATAACTCTAACATAGAACCTATGTTGGATGGGCTTAATAACAAATCAAGTGCAGGCATGTTTGCATAGAAGGAAAACTGATTTGATTGCTGTACTGCTTTCAATGAATTGCAATAAATAAATAGAAAATTCATTGTTTCAAATAAAGTGTTGTTCTTACAAAAAAAATGTACATTTATATATTATCCTGGTAAGTAGTTAGTAATACTTTCTTTATAATTGGGAATGTTTAAATTTGATTATTTAAATATATGTTACTAAATGTTTTGGTGATGTCTGTTCTTACAAGCATCTTCTATAAATACTAAGTTAAAAGCCGTGCAGTGAGTATCATAGAATACTTGTATAAGAGTTTAACTGGTTGCCAATGTAAAACAAAACTACGATCTATGTAGCACACAAATCGACTTAAAGCAAATTTTATAATTACCGCTTTATCAAAGTATTATATCTTAATTGGTTATCATCATGCGGTATGAAAATAATAGTAATTGAGGAATCTTTTTTATATTTTGTTTCATGAAAAAGTATGTTATTAAAAAATTAAAATAAGATGTTTTATTAAAGAATAGAGAAATTGGTTCAGTGAGAAGAAAATAATATTTAATTTGTTTAGAAAATATGGTTTTTAAGTGTAGTATTTCAGTTTCATAGTTTTGCGAAACATACGTTAGTATTACCGATAACAACGAAACAAAATTAGTTATAGTATAGTAAAACTATGTTTCTATATTTCGTAGGGTACAAAACTTATGCAAAAGTTTGTTTAGTTTAGTTGTATTTGTATTATGTGTAAAATGTTACTGTTTTACTGAAGATTTGAAGATGATTATGCTATTATATATCAGTGTTTTACACAGCTTGAATCAGTTGTTCAAAAGTTTTGCACCTGTCCTACAATTTCTAATTCCGGTCCTGTCTACAATAATTTGAAGGGACACCTGCCTTTAGATGTTGTTAGTCTATGCCTATGCCTATAGATGGTGCTAAAATAGTGTTATTTTTTAATAATGTTAATCAACTGAAATACATATTATTAACAATATAGAAATATTAATTAATAGATAAATATTTGAAATAAAGTAGTTATACTTTCACAAATTATTATATTTTTATTTGACATTGATCATAACCTTAAATATTGACAGTTAAAGTTGAAAAGAGAAATGTTATTGTTGTGAAAGGGGGCGATGAGCGATGAATTTTCCGAATAGTAATCAGATTTCGGGTCGAGTCAGGTGTAATTTATGGATTCCACTGATTACCCAACAAGTTCGTAGGAAGAAATGTCTATTTATTGAGAAGTACTGTAAATGCTATGTTTGATTTTTTCAGCTGAGGCTGCGACACTTGTTCAGAGTAATTGCATACAATGTGAAGTCCACAACAACTGTTGGGTTCCACTTTACCCTTCACACAACTGCAATGTGTGCACCAATCTATACCAGTGAAAAGGTTCTCAGTGAGAATCCAAAATGGGGAGATATAGAAATTAGTGAAATTCCAAATCTATCAACAAAAGGTATTTAAATTAGTAGCTATTCTTTCAGTAGCATATTACTAATTTATATAATCATTTATAGCTTTCGTATTGAGAATATGGAATGATTGTGAGTTGATCTTAACCTGGGGCATAAACTTGTCAGGTCTAGTATATTTAGGCAATAAATTTGGAGACATTTATCCTGAACTGTTTACTGAGAATACTGTGATATTACACTTACGTGGAGGTTATTTTACTAGTATAAATTGTGTTCGATGTGATGTTGCAAGGCCTCTTCCATTCATAGACCACCTAAATGTAGTTAGCACTGAAGATTCCATGTACATTTATAAAATAGCGTCTGATAAGAATCAATCATCGGACGTGAAAAACACGTACAATCTTAGTAAATTGCGTAAACTACGTTCGTTACAAATTAGCATTCGAAATAAGAGTTTAGAAGTGCAGGCGCTGAAGGATAAAATCGATTTTAAATGCCAGGGAGGCTCCGAGAATGAACGGAATTGTAAAGAATCGACTTCAAAGACGAAGACTGACAGTAATGTTAGATATGCACCGCAATTGCTTACGATGACTTCGCTGAATAAAATGCTGCACGTGGGTGTATTTTATTGACTATTGACATAGAACAAATATGTAACTGGTTGAAATTTTCAGGAAAAACCTACGCGATTGCAAAGGTTGGAAATGCAGAGGCTACAGAAAGAAATCGAGGTGTCGAAATTGAGGACGAAAATGTTGTCGCAGGAACGCGACAGGAAGCAAGCGGAAATCCGACGGATGAAAAGCAAATATAGGGGAATGCAGGATGAAAATTCTGAAAAAAGTTGTGTTTACGCATATTTTCGTACGCATTACTAATTATTACAATATTAATTACAGGTTCACAATTGATGGAGAATTTTATGCATTTAAGTAAAGAAATTGAGAGACTGAGAGAACGAAAGAGAGAATGTTCTCACCAGAAGGATATTCTCCACCATATAACATCCAAATTACATTATAGAAGGCGACAGCTAATGTCTGAATTATTGATGCTATACCCAATAGAACGCGTCAAGGATGATAAATACTTAGTAAATTGCGTATATTTACCACCTTCGAACATAATAGCAGGTATTTTATAATTTGAATGAAATTTCATAACACTTAATTTATTTATAAATAAATTAACATTTAATATATTATTTATTTATAGAATGCACGGACAACGGTCTCTCTGTGGCTTTGGGATACGTAAGTCATATTTTAATAATGTGCGCTTCTATCCTGCAGGTTCCTCTTCGTTATCCCATACATTATTTTGGTTCTCGATCTACCATCGAAGATCAAATCACTGCTTCCTTATCAGAGAAAACTAGAGAGTACTTATAAATGATATCTAAGAAATAACAAATTAATCCGTTTGAATATTTCCAGGTTTCCTTTATATACAAGAGGAAAAGATCGGATGCAGTTCAACTATGCGGTTTATCTGTTAAATAAAAATATTGCCCAATATTTGTACATGTTAGGAGCTCGAACACCTGATCTCAAAGCGACTTTAGCCAATGTTCTAATTTTGCTTCACGGTAGAGATATGGCTAGATACCCCACTGATAGAGGATCACGATTCAACGATGTCATGAGTGATACAACGAGTCAGTGTAGCCAAGACACAATCAGGTTGGAAACCGATGTATCATCAATTTCGAGCCAGCGATGCTGCAAACCTCCGGTCGAGTACGAAAGAACTTTTATTTCGCCCGCCATCAAAGATACCAAAATGAGTATACCGGAAGCCTTTTTAAATAAGCAGATGAGCAACAGCTCTTTTAAAAAGTACATGGAATTATGTAATTCAGAACTATTAGATAACTGTGGTAAATACTTTTTTTCTATCTTTTGTATAGGAATATATTAATTTCATGCATATTTATTTTAGTACCAGTAAATCAAGCAATAATTACTAGAAACGACTGTGATACAAACGAAGCTACTGCAGGAGTCGAAGAGGGAAAAGAAATGATTCCGATAGAAATAACGAAGTCACCTGGTGCAGCGGATAACTCGCTGATGAAGTCGAAACGTCTCAGCAGATCACTGGGATCATACACGGATGAGGACAAAGGCCTAGAGCTTTGTGCAAGTATTGAATTGAGTTCGGATCCGTTATTGAACGTTTCGTCTTCCGATACCAGCAAGGAGAACAGTGGTGAATCTGCGCAGCAAGAGTTTCTGCATAAATGGTTGAACAGCGGTCCAATTGTCTGTTCGGAAGAAAACTTGTACCCAGACGAATTCCTGGGTAGCACCTCCCACAGCTCCGCCCACGACAGTCCACTTACTTTGCGCACGGATGCCTTGCTTAAGACTACCCCTTTCAATTTGGTCAAACCAAAATTTTAAGTATATACTTTTTTAAACTGTTATATAATGGGATGCAACTAATAGTGAAGAAGCCAAAACCAAAATCGTATAACAAAATCTATTGTTTAAATACAATCCATTTGTTTATAGTACTTTATTTTGCTATCTTCTTTTTCTGTTAAGGTACAATTTAATTTATTAGTAGTTTACACTCAAGTCTGTTTATTTATATCCAAACCGTTTAATTCAAAGATTTTATTTAAATAAAGTATTCAATTTAATTTCAATTTTACATTTTATTTTATATATAACCAGTAGAAAATAGTTAATACTTTCTTTACGTACTAAAAGAGTACACAAATTCGAGTAAGCTAAGCGATTTTATATCAATCTTATTGTGAATGCATTAACTGGCCTTTTTTTCGTTCAAACGAATAATTTGCTTTCTGGCCCTAGGATTCCCATACTCATCTGTCAAACGCTTTACATACTTTAATTTTATTTCGATCTGACCGTGTTAAAGTATAACATAATGAATAGAAGTAAAATACTTTATACGCTTTGTCAAGTGCAAGGCACATCAGTCGTTTCAATTTCGTCTTATTTCGCGTATGATTCAGTTACGACATTGGTAAATCATGTGTTGATTCTTACATTAAGGTATAGTTGCTAACAAAACTAATTGAGAAATTTAAAACCGTATATAGATAAGAGATAAAGCATAAAAAAGACTAATGTATAGAGAGGAAACAATCATTTACATATATTTTTTTGTAAAATAATAATAATATTTTTTTAGAATTTATTTTACTGAAATTTTAAATTCAATTTTCAAATAGTGAATCTGCAATAATTGAAGCCGAAATACGGGAAGTATTGCTGTAGAATTTTATTATAGATCATCCGAAATGACAGCGTTACCTTGAGTCTGAATATTTTGGAGATAAGCAGAATAATTTAAGTAACATTTTGAAAAGGTAATAAAATTGTTAGTTCTATGTACAACCTACTTAACATAAGTTCAACAATAAAAGTAGCATTAAGTAATTTTATTGAACTAATTAATGGATTAAGCAAGAACAACAAAGCCATTAAATGTATCTTGCACTATATAAATTAAGTGTTTTTTAACAACCAAATTTTGCATTTTTAGTCTTGCATTTTTACCAGTAAAATTGAAATAATAATAATAAATTCAAAACATCTAGGTAATGTTTACCGAAATATCAAAGTAGGTCAACCTTTTGCAAAGAAGGATTCTTATTTGATATTATTATATTTTTTAAAATTACCAGAAAATATTAAACTTTAAAAAGTTGAATAGATCTATTTCTTTATTATTTTTATGAATTCACTGATCAAAATTATTTTCAAACGTCCCCTGAAAAAAGAGGATATGCATAGCATAACAAGACTCTGCAGAACGGGGATCTGGGTATATCAAGCATTATTTGCAGTAGCATGAGATAGTAAAGCAACGTGTGATGCAGAAACTATCTGGATTGGTGAAAAGTCTCAGGGGAAGTAGATAAATTTAATAATTCCAAAATTTCCTAATAAATTCATTTACTGGCGAAATAGTACTGGGTACAGGCTACATCGGGAGAGTAAAATTTAGAAAAAATACACTTGCTCATAAAATAATTAGGTATGTATCATAGATAAATTATTATTTCGATTTTTTATTGTTTCCTGTTAATCGAATTCGTATTTCAGGTTGGTTCATTTCGCGATAGAAGAAAAGATGAATTTTCTTTGAATAAACTTTATACAATAAAAAAATTGAGTATTTTTTTTTGGCATGGAACACATTATGGTATATTACAATAATTTATATAATTCTGGAACGAATTATGCTCTATGTATTCATAAAATAAATACGCCAGAATAACAGCGCCGGACAAATAGGATGAAAAACTAACAAATATTGGTTAAATGATAATTTGGTTCCACATCTAATTTTGAATTAAATAGGTGAACAGTAATGGAGAAAGAAATGTTAAGAAATACTTGAAAGTATATTAAACTTATGAAGGTAAAGTAGAACTTTTTTCAAAATGTATTACACCTAGAATAGATGTCGTTGGTGGTGCATGAATGAATTCTTAGTCGGTGTGCGCATCCGATGCGAAGAGTTTCGTCCCCATTTGTGGTGGGAGAAGTTGAAGCAAACGTGCAAGAGAGTGTAACAGAGAGGTGGCATAACGAAGGCGACGTTCGAAGAAGAGAGAGAAACGATCGAGCGTGTGCTGATTGTGTGCGTGCCTGTGCGAGTCGTCGAGAACATAACCGTAGTTTAGTGTGTTTAGTTGAATGAAAGTCCTCTCGTTGTCCAGTTGATTTGATTGATGTTGTTGAAAAATGGTGTTATCAATCGAAAGAGTGAAAGCCAACTGTTGTAGCCTGTACACAAACACCAATCATGACCGACACGTCTGAAGAGTAAGTTCCTTTTTACGATTCTAGTTTACTTTGGTAGTCAAGATTTTCCCGCAGACGGCACACAACACACCACCACCCCAAGTGTTGTGGTGCTTCTTACCATTTGGTCACATTGCGATGGTTGGGTCTTCAATGCTAGTTACATTGCTGCACTTTGCCAACACTTAATTATATCAACCCCTTTAGGCGGAAAAGAGCGGGCCGGAACTCGATGTAATAGGTTTTATGTAGCGATCATTCATTTCACACACTAATCAATGGATTCCATTCATGAATCAACACACACACACTTATAAATACATGCATGCATACCCACAACCGACACACTAACAAACACGTTATGTTTGTTGCATTCAGCGGCAAGCTACAACTCTTGCCTGCCGAAGGGGGCAATGAATAACTGATCGCACGTTGTTGTCACCTGCTGGCTTTTCGAAGTTGAACGAAAGTTTGAAAACAAAGCCGAGAGGCATATAGCAAAATGCAATTCTCCCCACTAGGTCTATAATAATCTCGCGCACTTTTATTTTCGAAATAAGAGCGTTTCCTCTTGGATTTATTTAATAACATGGGCCATAGTTAAATTTAGCCGCGACCAGAGTCCGCCTCGCTTATGCACACTCCCTGCGAGCGACCTTTTTTTCTATTCAAGAGGATAACGAGTAAGAAGCGAAGAAGAATGAAAAGAAAAGAAAAGAGGAAAGTAAAAGAAAAAACTGTATGACAACGCGATGAGGGTAGGATCGGAACGGAGAAAATGGGAAAAGCGCAGTTAAATCGCGAAATCTCTGAATGGAGCGAATCCGTGAATGGAGCCCAGATAGGAGGAGCCTAGATCATACATACATATAGGATTCATTAATAAAAACGCCAATTCCGATTATTGCAGCCGATTTCAACGAACTGGATGCACCTTTTTCATTCACTGCATTTATTATTATTATTCACTTTTTTTTTAATTGCAATATAATAATGATAAATTATTTTTATCGCGTCATTTCCTACATAGATAAGTGTTTTGTAATTGCAGTAATTGTAGCGACAACTTCAACGACACATACAAAAAAAAAGTACTACACCTCTCCGATTCGATTTCGGTTCAACGTAAAGCGATTTCCGGTGCTCGACAATATAAAAATAATAATGATACGGTTGTCATTGACTTTTCTCTGATTATGTAATTAGGAACAATCCGAGGTGCGTATTGTTCCTCTTGGGATCGACTAGGTGGAGGAATGGGAGCGAAGTGTCGCCTCCATTCATCCGAAAACTGATGAAATCGAATGCAACCGCAACAATAATACATTTATTGTCTAAATATAGCCTCTGCATATATACTAGTATAAATAGTTGTATGCAAATCGTTGTTGAGGAGTGAAGGAGAGAGAAAGAGAACTCGTGGGACGGTTTCGAAAGATCAGTTCGTCCGTCTGGTCCCGATTGAATGAGAGAGAGAGAGAGAGAAGGATAGAAAACGCGAGGATGCGACGAGTATTTTCCGTGGATTCCCAATAAATTAACGATTTCGTTTTATTTAAAGCCGATCGATGATAAGGAGACAAGGAAGGTCTCTCTCACATGCCGTGCATCAAGCCGCATACAACGGGACCGTTTGTTTCATACATCCATTCATTTAATCTCTGCCTCTTTCCTTCCCCAGAGATCAATGAACATTCGAGCCATTTTACATTTAACACCGCGTTCACCCCGAAAACAAACATGCAGAATACGAACAAAAAGAAGAGAAGTAAACGAGACTCCTCCGTTTACTAGATAGGCACGGAGCTAAGGAAATAGACGAGTTGAGGATAATAAGTAATTATTTTCTTTTAACGTAGCGTTAGCAGCGGCCGGAGGATGCGCTGGAACGGATATCCTGCTCCATGGGAATCATTAAAACTATTAATCCTGAAACCATTACCAGGGTTAATAAACATGATTGAGTACTGTCTTTTCTTAGGGTTTCCGCCCACTTCTTCTCACAAAAAACAACTACCGCGCTAATCCATCTCACATATCGACCATCATCGATGTATCGACACAAATCTCTGTAATTACGATTATTAAAATACACCTGTATTATTTTCCATATTATATATTATTAGTCTATATCATGTTTTATTAATAAAAAAACAATATACTGATGCTAATTATAATATACAAAATAATAAAAGAAACGAAATATTTGACGTAAATTAATTGGAAATTTCTTAAGATTAGATAACGATGTCCTTGCATTTAACACTATTTTATCGACAAATGCAACTCGACGAGATTTTTACTAAAGAAAAAAAGGAAATATTGTTTCTTAGAATTGTTACATTAATTAACAGACAATGCGTGTCGAAAGATAGCACAGAGGAAAAGTGAAGAATTCGATCTACAAAAAAAAATGCATTAGATTTGTTTTTTTTGTGTACGTGAGAAAGCGATGGAGATGCGATGCAGCGGATATCCTGCACCATGGGAATAATTAGTTCTAATAATCGTCGACGGGGGGATGGGAGAGCAAAAAACATCATCGGCGTAAAGACTAAAGAAAAAAAAAACGAGCAAAACGAGCAAAGCGAGTTCGAAAAGCAAGGACGAAAACGGATGGCTAAGAATGGAATTGCGTATGCGGGAATTGAAAATAAGGACTCTTTTTATCAACACTTTTCGCCGGCCGAAGCAAAATTCTATTTTCGGGTGCGCTCAAAGTTTCCGCGTATTTATCAATCGAAATTCTGATTGCATCGAGAAGATTAATTAATTAAGAGTCGAATATACCAATTCGTATTTGATAAGTCTATGCTTGTTTTTTGTTCTTGTACGAAACATTTTTTAAAGGTGGTTCACACTACGAGTTTCTTGTCACGTACACGCAGTGATATAACAATATTTAGTTAAATACATCATTTACATAGGTACCTATGTTATTTAATAATAAAAAAAACAATTTTGATAAAATAATGCAACAAAAAAAAATAAGTATTGATATTATTTTAGAATCAATATTCGAAATAAAATGTACATGTCGATTTGAGAATTCTTTGTGAATGTTTGAGCTAATTCAATTTTGGGGCATTTTGTTTGGTGAATGGAAATTTTGGATCGATCCGTCATGTAAATGTATGCAGGTCCTGGTGCACACTATGTATGGATTACATGATTTCATTCATGCCGGATGGGGGACGCTTAGGAGGCGACTCCCTGCTGCTCTACCGGAAGTACCTATCAGTAAACAAAAATAATTTGAAGAGGAGAATTAGAAAAAAAAGAATCTTAAACTGGGCGCAATGCAGGAAGCGGGTCGCTACCCCACGATAAATAATATTCTGTGGTAATGAGGTTAAAAAGAAGAGAGAACGAAAAAGGAGTATATATATATTGGGGGGAAAGAAGAAGAAGAATGTGTTCATAGAGAAAATTCATTCATTCAACTACGGCGCGCGCCCGTTCGTTGAGCGATTCTAAAAATAGCACAGGGGAGGTTATATCCTGTGTATTTATCCTGGAATCGGTTGGGGGTGGTGGAGCAATGACGGCAGAGGGAGTAGAAGGAGGCGGTAGAGGCAGCAGCGGCGGTGGTCCCGTGACCCAATTTCAGCTGTTCCCGGGTTGTTACCCTCTGCAATAGCCATTCATGCCAGAATTGGGTCACGGAATGCAGCTAGGCCGTGTTTACTTCCCCCACCGCCTCTGCTGCCGCCACCGGCGAGGACCACGTTGGGGCCTCGCGATTCAAACTCCCACCCGACCAATACGGGTTCCCGGATCCCATGACGTCAGTAGCCCTTACACGTGGCCTACTTGATGCCGTGTTTATTGATGTTTTCTACATCATATTATGCTTTGATGGTGATGGCCCAAAAATAATAATAATATCGGCATCATCTTCTTCTGCATCGTAACTGGGTCTCCTTTTTGTCTTCCATTCATCGCCAACCGCCGCCGCTGGACAATGGTACTCGACCATGAGATCGACTTCTGGTATGTATCCATCAGAAAGGCGATTGATCAATTAGGAATTCATATCGAACGAAAACAGATTACCGCGATGATGACGCTATTTCCTGATCAGTACGTGACGGATGCGAGTCGACCGTTTAATTGTTTTCATTTGCGCAAAGACAACCGTCTAAAATATTACATCGTCTTTAAACCTACCCAACATACTTGCTCACATCTTTCATAAATTTATTAACATTATGTGGAGCAACAATATTAAGAGACCTTACGTTTCAATGATTATATATGACAATGATAGTTGTACTTTAGGACAATTTCAATATTACTAATATAAACTACGTATGTATTGTACGAACCTATCAATTCATCACATGTTAGATAATACAGCAATACCTCATATAGTCCGGATAATTGGTTCTGAATTTATTTTTATTTTACTCAATTGAATTTGTTTTGAAATCATCAAACCCGACTAGTGAATCCAGGACTCATCAAACAATGCGAGGTATTAGTGTACTCTAAAACCTTCAATTTTCAGCAATATTCTTACAGAAGATTTGAATATGCTTTTTATTTGAATTACAATGCTTAAAACTTATTTGTTTATTTTTAATAAATATGTAATTTTTTAATGACCGACGCATTACGATATATAGGTCATATTAAAAAAAAATCTTTTTTTATGAAATGAACTGAAATGTAACGAAAATAATATTTGATTTAATTCTTATTATTATGTACATTCAATTGCGCAGCGATGATGAATAATAATCAATGGTGGAAAATGTTTAATGAACGAGTATAGACTTGTCGGTTCTTGAATGAACGGGAGAAGAGTGCGCATGAATGGGGATTTTGATGCAGCAGCAGCAACCCACTTTGAAAGGATTCAATGAAATTCATTTTAAAATTTCATATCTGTTTCATTTGATAGCTGATGATTCAATTACTGTTACTATTAGTAACATAATATGAAATTGATAAAAACAATGAAATTTGAGTTGAAATTCAATGTTCATTATTTATTTATTGTAAATTATCTTGAAAAT